AGTATTCGGGGCTCTGACCAGTAAGGGGTTTATTGCGAAAGCGTGCCGATTCGACATTTCTGAAATGGGTAGGGAACTGGTGGGTTATCAGAGATGTCAGACGTGGAGAGGATTACTGTGGTCGTTGACCATTATGGGGATTTGTGGGAGTCTGGGCATTTTGTAGGCTTCCAATAAAAAATAAACTCAACGTTGATAGCAACTGTTTGAGTATGTTGAAAAAATAACAATTGAAAGATCCCTTTTGGAATCCCCAATGCTAAAAGGTTCTACAGGCCATTATCTATATTTATCAATGAACTCATGATTTAGGTGTACTGCTGACGCCGAAGTTGATCTTTTCGTCGGTGCTAACGCATGAGATGATTCATAGCATGAACGTGGGCCATTCATACAGTGACCGCAAGACCCGGGTAAGGACACCTTTTATGAGTAAGGAGTTATAGTCGGACAAGCGATGTGGCGACGTGAAAATTCCTCTTTCCTCTACTACCCATTCAACTCGATTTTCTCTTGGTCAATCTTTTCGAATGGTGGATTCCGATCAGAGAATGAAAAAAGATTCTTTCTGGTCTGTCTTTTGGTCCCAGACCTAAACTGGCTACAGAACAAGTATTGTGCAACCGTTTGCTTACTACCTTTTTAGCGACAAGCCCCAGCAGCAGGCAAACTATTATGAGAATTCCTGCCTCGTTCGGGTGTCTGTCTTCTTGGGTAGGATCACTCCTTATCGCCATACATTGACATACAATACTGAATCTTGACAGCCGTTGCTTTCTGTGATGTCATTATACACAAAAATCTCTATTTTTTGTAGATATTTCCATATTCTGAACCAGGAGAGTATGACGATAAATATGACTTGATGTCGACTGCAAACGCACATATGCGGCCATCAACGTACGGCCTTAGTGGTCCAGGCCTGAATGGTCCTCATCTTGACTATCTCGGGTGGTTACCACAGAACCGAATGGTCTATTTTGGACGGTGAGTGAGAGATTTGTGCTCTGAGGAGGTGCTGGGCACTGAGCACATTTTATTCAAATTACAGAGATGGTCGTAACAACTACACTTTACGGTTGTCATCGCTTTCTGTACCACATCGTCTGACAATCGGATGGCTCTTGGTCATGATCCCATATGATCGCGACGATCCAGGCAACGTCTATACCGTCGAATATCGCACTCCAGTCGGTAACGATGCTGCCATCAGACAAGTATGATTGCCTTTGAGTATCGGATTACATGACACTGAAATTTGATTTGAGCAAACGGATGTCTTTCACAAAAGGGTCGCAAATCTGTACATCCTAATTTCTCTTTTTGCGAACGCTTTGAACTGAAGTTTCCCTCTTGCATTGAATATGCAAGTCATACCCTCCATGATAACACCATATCGCTTCTGCTTACCTTTGCGCATCTAATCCCACATGAATCGGGAAACGGAGTGACGAGACAACTATCTATTAAAAAGTCAACCGGCGAAGATTTGGAGCACCATAGTGGGGACCTATGAAGAGCTGAAGTCTAGTGATACACCTCTTCATTAACTATAGTTCTGCTTCATCTTTGGCTTTCAGCTTCTTTATTCGGCAAACTTGCTTAGTAGAGTTCCTCACGATCAGGTTCTGGTTGCAGGGAGCTGTTGTGATTCATAAAGTGCATCGAGTGGGTAACTCGTACTATTCAACGTTGGTGACCCATGAACGTGGAGAATATAACGAGCTCACCTTGGGCACTGAATGGCTCAAATTTCTCGACATTGCTGCTGATGGATCGTTCCAGTATATACGGGTTAAGGTAAGATTAGAGTCTTTTTCCTCATGAAATTTAAATTTCCTAACTATTTTTCATGGGCAACCCACAGATTTCTTCGTCTATCATGAATATGATTTAATAACAGTAGGACAGTAGAGTTAATAACAACAACATTGTCATGCAGATGTCGTTCACCTTCTTCTGTTTCAGGTGGAACGGGTTCATGGAAAATCTCATAGTACTGATCTCAAAATCATGACGACATTTCGACCGGTACGTTCTTTAACCGTATTCAGGACAGTAAATTAAATTATTCTGAGAGTTTTTGAAGCTTTATATTGCAAATTGTTGAGCCACTACCACTGACTACCAAGAGTCGAGGGGACTCACGTCCTACTCATTAGCTCCCCCTACGCCAGGCAGGCTTATTGGGCCGAGCTACCCCTTTCGCTATCCATGGTCCTTTTTTCCTGTGCTTTTCGATGGCATCTGGATAGCCCTTGCCCGTGCGGAAATTTTTTGACAACGAGACAGCTGTCTGCTAGCAAGTTGTACGTATTCCTAATCAGTACAGAGTAGAGGAATTGAATATACAAGTGGTACACACGTTACTCTCATTTGAAAACACTCATTTGATTGAACTTTGGAACAAATAGGACACATTGCTAGAAAGAACACTGAATATGACACCACTTCATAAAAAATTGCCGACACAGTAAGTAGTAACGTCCCTGCCTAGCGTCACATACGCCTCCTAATCAGTACAGAGTAGAGGAATTGAATATACAAGTGGTACACACGTTACTCTCATTCGATAACACTCATGTGATTGAACTTTGAAACAAATAGGAAACAGTGCTAGAAAGAATATTGAATACGACACCATTTCTTAATAAAATGCTGACACTGTGAGTAGTAAGATCCCTGCCTAGCGTCACATACGTCACTCCCGAGGTTCCCATCCCACATAAGTGTCCAGGCCGTTGCCCTCTTGTCCTGATCGGCTGCATAGTTGCCGCTTCATTGTTGTTCTTCTGCGCGGAAACGTCTCGTGAGAGGGGAGGGATCAGTATGCTGGAATGACAAGAGTTACAAGACAAGATCAAGATAGGATTTAGAAGTTTCTTGCGAAAGTCAGCCCGATGTGAGCTGAGTGCTACCGAGTAGACAGCACAGAGTCGCTATAGAGTAGCTCACTGGGTGGATAATTTATCAAGCTAACGGTTCGGCCTGTCGTCGTTGTCACAGAAGTCAAAATACATTTGGGATTCATCCTGATCAAACGACGATCAGCTTAGATATCAATATGTCGCACCAAGATGAAGCGAGAGTCGAACATGTTTACTTTAGGAAGTCTGTCGTGGCGCCGATGTGCAGATGCCAGTAGAAAGGACGTCCGAGCTGGTATTACATGGTGTGCGAAGTGTGTGTATTGAAAGGAACCGTACGGTTACTCAACGTGACGTCGATCAACAATATTTGAGAAATTCATTTTTTCAAATGAGGTCAGTTTCTCAATTTTTCAATAGTAATTTACAAGCATCTTACTTGCCTAAGTGTTCTTTCCATTTCTCTGTGGCTGAGCTCATGCAATCTTGTCCGATTCGAAGTCAAAAGCATCATCATGTATGAAGTGTAAAGGGGTGAAGCTCGTGCAGTGGAACTTCCGACAAAAGGGAATCGTTTGATCTTTTGGGCGGTGTCCCTTCCCCATCACTCCTGGCTTCCTCTGCTACAAAGCCTGTAGTTGTCTCTTGCCCAGAGATTTCTGCAGAGCAAATCCGAGTGTTCTGTTCCTGTCCGTTTAGTCATTCCAGATTGTTCGTGTAGCGGGTCAACGTTTATAGAGGTAATATCGAAGTAATTAAGTAACAAACTGTAATTTCAGGAAAACATTCGGTCAAAATGAATGTAAGGTTGGTCGCATATGGAGAGGAATCGATGCCTATGATTATGTCTGTGTTGAGCCTCACCGGTAAGTGTACTATTTTCTAGGATAAGGTTTTTAAGTAAGTCCCTTCATACCTCTAAGTTCCATCTTTACAAGAAACATCCCGGCTTTATTAAAGGCGTCATTCATGGTAGTCCCAATCTGGGTGTCACTCTCATTGGGAGTGGTATTCAGATGTTTGGCGCATTCTACGTAGCGACTGATCTGCGCTTGGCTAAGGTTCTTTCACTGTTGAAGCTTCCCGAGACTTTTTCAGGGCCGATGAAGTTGTAGACAGCGTGGTTTCCATCGACGATGTCGATGCTGGATGTGATGTGGACTACGTTCACAGGAATGCTTTTCAGGTGAAAGATTTTGCTCTATTCGCTTCCTAGATGGACTGAGGATACTGACGGAGCTTATTTTTAGGGAGACAAGGCGTGCGTAAGTGAGGACGAACGGGCCCTTGTTCACAAGGAGAACGCCGAATCTCATCTGAACCTTAGGAATTATGCATTTTTCAATGGAGCCGATTCAGTTGGTCTATAAAGTCCATCGTCATACGACGGTCGACTCAATATTGGCAGAATCAGTTTGTGCTTCGTCTGATTCAAAAATCCATTTCTTTGTTTTCTGCAGCTTAAAGTAGGGTTTGATTATAGGGGAATTGCAGCAAAAATAACCTGCAAGAATTGGGCAGAATTTTGTGGGCAAAATTTCGACCTCATATGGGACTCGAACCCGTACCTGCGATTCGGAAGCACTTCGAGAGATTTCGAAGGTCACAACATGGAACATGGTGCCTAGAACGTTCGGGTCACGTCTGAGACAGGAGTTTTGCCCACAGCTCACCATCTTTCTGAGGGTTTTGCATCATTACTGTGATCAGATTACAGCAGTTGACAAAAACATCAAATCGAATCCATTTTGTAATTATACCTCGTCTTTGATGCCGAGAATTAAGCTAGATCACGTTGTACAATTGAATGTATGAGCTTTATAGTAGCAGTGTCAGTTACACTAAGGAACTTGGTTGAAAATTTCGATAGCCTTTCCTGGGCTCCTAGGGCTCTTAGATTTTTAAACTGCCTTCGCTTTTTACTTGCTCCGATTTCAACCTCGAATTCAGTAGGGACAGCATAGTTTTTGTTATATATCTTCCAATGTTTGCTTTACAGTTCGTTTAGTTGTTTGTTACGGTTTTGATTGAATTGTAATTTATTTTTTGATAAAAATAAAAGTAGAAAATCTACTTTGTCACTTTCTGAAGAACTTCTGTTTTAATTGCTGGAATAGTAAGTCTGTCTCTTACTGTATTTTGGTCTTGTACGATTAGCGAAGGTTTAAAAGTCGTCTCGTCCAGTTTGATTGATTTTTCTGTCCACACATGGCTACAAAATGGTTTTTATTAACAATTACCCACATGCCCCACAATTACCTACATGTGTATTCAAAACTTTTTTCTTGAATGCAAGTTTTCAGAAGAGATGAGCAACGAGAAAGAGATGGTGTAGTGGCAAGTGGCGCGCGATCATACATGCATGGCCCCATGTTCGAATCCCATATCGATACCCGTCCAGGCCAACTAAGCCTTCCGTCCTTCCAGGGTCGGTTGTTTGGTACCAGACTCGGTCAACTGTATAAAAGCACTGAATTCACATTGTCCGACCACGGAAGTCCTTGTGTAGGACACAGAAGCATGTGAACCGCCAATACGATTCTGATTGGAAGTGGGATGCTGTGGGGCATCCAAAAGAGGATAACCAAAATCTATTTTTTGACCTCTTATCAGCAACATACATTACTTTCATTCATTTTATCCATAAGTAAATAGGGAATCCTTTCTCTTTTCATCATTATCAAAAAGAAGAGCAAATGGAAGACATTCATCGTTATGGAAGTGAAAGGCAAAGAAAATTCCATTTAGAAGACTACGAACTGTTTCAGAGGCCCACGATACCAAAATGTTACGACAGCGGTGCGTGATTTGAAGCAACGCGAATGCGCGCGGCCACAGTGTACGGCGGCGCAGTGGTGCTGCTGTGCGGTGTCGCGCAAGCGGTTATCAGATCGGTTCCTAACCGATGAGCAAAGATGAATGCATAATTGCTTTCTGACACCTCTTATGTTAGCGGTCATTTCCGGGCTGCAATGATTCCAAAAAGTTTCCTGAGCTCATTTTACCTGTTTTCAAAGCAGCACTGTCCTTTTCATTCCAAATAAGACTCAAAGGTGGTGGGAAGGCAAGTGGCTTGCTACTAGACGCTTGTTTTGGAGATCGAATCCAGGATCGGAATTGCTATAGACCAAACGAAAGCTCAATCCCTACGCGGTCGATTGAGTGGTACCAACTTCGTTTGAGATGATATAAGTCCCGACTTGTGTTTCCCAAAACGGCATAACGGGATAGATCTACGCCTAGAGACTTAGCTCCGAAAATGCATCATCCCAAGAAATTCGTGGAATGTCAACAAATGTTAGCTCCGGAAAACAATTTTGACACTCAGCAAATGTTACCGATGGGTATCCCAGACAAAACAGAACACAACAACGACCAAACAGCTCAGTAGCTCAGTTATGCATCACTTCGGAAACGTTCTCATAGCACTAATATTCATTTCTTTGCTGGTCCAGTACGAAGCCCATACATCAACATATCGTCTTTGTGGATTATGCAAAGTGTTTACCGAAATTGTACGATTTGGTTTGTCGCATAATGTGATCAGCAATGTGAGTTATTTACAACAATTTTCTCCGGCGTTTTTTTATTTTTGATTAATTGTATGCCTAACTAGTCGCGCTTCTCTGATGAATGTCAAAAGAATCGTGTTGTTTGTTTGTTCTCCTCGATAGACGGATTACACGCTCGGTTTTTATCCAGAACCACAGCGGTCCCTCAACTGTCTACTGTTTTGATGTGGCCTATGGGGCTTGTAGATTTCTCATTTGAGGTTTAGCCCTTACAGGTCGGGAGAGGACTCATTTGGTCCGGAATGATCAGGAATAGCATATTCAATCCTCAAGCCATGCATAAAGAGAACTTTGCTTGGCGTTTATTTATTTATTTAGTTATTTATTTATTTGTTGCACTAACTTTTTCCCATTTGTCAGAATGGCCTAAAGGTTCATAGTTCCTATGCAGTTATGAATTCTCAAGCATGACGAGAGCTATATCTAATCTCTTTATTTAGTTTCTACTTCTCCACTGCTCGTCAATCATCTCGTCAAGCATATGCCTTGTGGGAGCTGAACTACTGCAGAAGTCAGTCGTTTATTGTCAGTTTTATCAGAACACATTAAAATAGCCATAATGAAAACAAGAATAAGTAAATCATCATCATTCATCACCAAGTTCATTCAAGTGTTTCCAAATTATGCTGAGTTCCACAGAAAAGGAACCTGCAAGCTCACTTGACGGAATAACCTCAATAACAGCAGATAAACACCAACAAACCTTGTAAACAGGATTTATCGCTGGGCTTCTGTGTATTTTGATCTGTGGATCCGAGAGATCGCTGGAGCAGTTGTTATTTTTAGTATTCTACATTCCTTAACGCTCATAGAGGTCTGTCAACTTGAACACATGTGTTCTGCATCAGCAACTGGCTTTGGAGAAAAACACTTGAACTTATCTCGACTCCCTTCATATGACGTGGATGCGATCAACGTATGTCTTTCGCCCTTATACTGAATAAATTCCTGCTAGGCAGATTGATTTCAAAGACATTTTCACAGTTTTGAATACCCTATCTCGAAATCAGGTTGTTGAGAAGGTACCTAAGCGATGGAAGAGCTGATTCGGTCTGCTTACAGAGTGGGAATACACCATTGTGTCCGTTTCTCTGGGGCAAACCTGATAGGCATGTAATTCAAGGTATGCACGATAAGTGGAGTCAGATCTAACAGATGTGCGTTGATGCTACCCACACTTGTCAGTGCTCCACTTCTGGTTGCTAAGATAATTGTAAAGCAGTGACCCGAGCTAATTTTTACATCTAAACAATATTTTCAATTTAAGAAAGTTAGTGAAACTCTTTTTCCTTATTTAGATAATGCTTTCTCGGGTGGACTCGGTGGAGAATTTCACGGATCTCACAATTGGTGTTGGAACAAATGTCGAAAGAGTTATTGTTCTTCTGGCTGACTACTTTCCTTTGTTGAAGAACGTGCGTATGAGTGAAGACCAATACGATACACTGGTTGGGCTTACAAATCGATTTCTTATGGCATTGGACTACAAGTTGAGAACAAGCACAGGAGAAGGTCTACGTGAGCACCTGAAACCGTGCAAGCACAGTAGGAGGAGATTGAAGTAAAGTGAATGAGCTGAGCCATAGGAACTGCATATCAATTTTTTCGTGCAATAAATAATTTCATTGAAAAATACACGTTTTCGAAAACTACAATAGAAAAAGCTTACAGAAAGACTTACAAATGGTCGTCTTGTCAGTTGGTACATTCTTCAAGACGGGAAATTGCTTTGGAAAAGTATGACAATGAAGGAAATTTCAATTAAATTGAGAATCCCAGCTGAACTTGTGCTCTGAGGCACTATGGAGGTACAGTGCACTTGAAAGTCGATTTCAAAAAGATTAACAATAAATAAAAATCACACTGAGTGTGAAAATGTGTTTGCGCTTCCATATAGCTAATGGATGACTGCATAGGAATTTTTCATATTGCTAATTCTTTTCTGAAGCACTCTCAGCAGACATTGGGTAAGAAAAAAGTGTGAAAAATCTAGCGTAAATTCAGTACAAAAGCATAGGTACCCGAAAAACCAAGTGGCATACGGTGAAAGCTATTTCAGCTCGGGAACTGAACTGACTCTGAAGGAAAAGATTGAAAAAGAAGACTGGGACTCAGCTATCAGGGATGATAAGGCTTCGCACCAGCCAAATGTCACTCAGTGATCCTCAGGCTGTCCCTCCTGATGTGCTACCCACATCCTTGACATCTAACTTTTGAGGAACCACATCAGTAGAGCACGCAGCCACCGAACTGATATGATACGACGCCATTGCATTCACAATAGAACTGCTCGTGCATGTCAGTTATTCCCATAAATTGTTGCACTGAAAAATCACATGAAGTAATACAGAAATGCGAAATACGATGCCCTTACCTTCGCAAACGGGGCCTGGCTGTGGGAAGTACGGCTGAGAGTAGTATGGAGCTCCAAGTAGTCCTTAAATAGTTTTTTATATGTAAAAAGTGCAATTAGTTGAAAATAGACCAGACGCTGCAGATGCAGGAGCAGAAGAGTGGCGTCATTAGGTCCGCCACACTGCTCCACCACTATGCTCTTGGAAGTATACCCTTGAAGGGACGGCGGAGAGCGAGTCCCTACCAGTGCCTTCCATCTGAATACAAAGGACACTCAAGTAGGATGCGCGCCATAATTCCACCGAGAAAAGGACCATGCAATGAAACCCTACATTCTAATAATGACCGAGAGGGCGGTTCCTTCAAGCTTTACTTGTAGCCATCTCGTGAAACGCCGACTGCCTTTCCCCACATAACCGAACTTCATGTTTTGCTTCAGTTTTCGTTTGAGCTTGTCTCTGAGAAACAAATCAACGAAAGAACTGATTCCTGGTCTAAAGCTGTCAACTATAGGTCCAGAAAAGGATGAAAGACAATACCCTGGATACCCGAGAATCAAAAAGTAGGGCGATATCGGACTGGTCAGTGAAGGGAATCAACGAATATTACCTCCACCAAGGAATCCGAGCAGTCCTAAGCCTGCGCCTCTCAAGAAGTAGCCTGAAAGAAGAATTTTTGGCATCTAGAAGTTCAAAAAATTGTTATAACTAAGAAAGCGCCGTAGAATATTTACCTCTATGTCCAAGATCGCCTGAGTGAGATCTGAAAATCCAAAAACGTTCTTCTTGCAGAGCAGTCAATTTTATAAAATGGATTGTACCTTGAAGAACAAATGCTGAAAAAAAACCCGCCTGTCTCCTCCTGGTCCTCCATGCCATCCGCTGCCACTGCTACCATGCCATCCATCGCCACCTCTGCCGCCGCGGCTACTCCAGCTACTTCCACCTCTGCCACCGTGGTCGCTCTGCCAGCCACCGCCACCCTTTCCACCACCATGATCACCTTTCCAACCTCCTCCACGGCCACTTTTCCAGCCTCCACCATGATCACCGTTCCAGCTACTGCCACCTCCGCGACCTCCTCCTCCACCACCACCTCCATGGCCTACGCTTCCACGTCCACTACTTCCTCCGCTCCATCCTCTACGGCCACCTCCTCCACCACTTCCACCTCCACCTCCACGACCACCACCTCCGCGACTACTACTTCCTCGGCCTCCACCTCCACGACTGCCTCCTGAAAAAGCAAACATCAATGTACGAAAGTTGTTTCACTGAGTCAAGTCCTACACATACATTCAGAATCCTATGATTTTTTCACATATCACTCGTATGCTGCATTATGGACCTAATCAATAATTGAAATTTCTCACCTGCTCCTCGTCCGCCTCGTCCTCCGCTGTCTCTTCCTCTTCTGGCTTGCACAAGAACTGGAAAGCTAATGAATTTATTCGAATAAAAAAATAATAATATTTAATATATATATCGAGTGTTCACCAAACTACAATGAGCTTTTTGTTCAGACAGTTACAGTTACTGATTACTGAGGAACTAGCCCTACCTTTTAGTAGCTACTACATCGTGTAATGCCTTTCGGACATTCCGGCTGTGTGTAGGTATATATGGTATGTAAAAGTTTTTCTAAAAACTTATGAAACAAGAAAAATAAGAAAAACCAGAATTCGAGTGATCAATAGTAAAGTAATAGATTTTGAAATGATTTACAAACCTTGTTCTGCCAGGATCAGACAAACGATCAGGAAAACGCCAAAAGACGAGCTTCTCATCCCGTTGACTTCCTCGACAATGGTTTAAGGGCGATTGATCGTACTTCAAGTTTGGCGAACTTTACAGCAGAACCGGGTTAACCGATTTTATCACGGTTTCTTCGAAGTCCACAAAGTTCAGAGACTGGGTCGACTATCACATTGAACGGTGTGGGCGATTAACGAAGGTGTCTTTTGGTACGGGAAATTTTTTGGTATTAGAAGTCTCTAAACGGAAAGACTTGCTCCAACTGATTTGACTGGAAGTTTTGTAGGTAATCCTTTCCGTCCTGGGACATTTTTCACCGCCTGGGAGGGAACTGCTCGCCATACTTTTGCCACTACTAAGTAGGGACCGGTACCTTGCGCTATAGCCTCAGAAAATCAAAGTTTTCCATAACACTTAACGCATCTTATGTGATTTCAAGGACAGAGCGATTGGGAGAAGAGACCATTAATTCGCTACCACGTGAGAAGTGAAATCACATTGTTGCGTGAGCAGGTGAATGTGAAGGTGTGAGGGGAGGGGGAAGGTCAGTGGAGAACTATACAAAATTCTACTCCACTTTTTTTTTCTGGAGGCACGATTGCTCGAACATGTTGCCTGAGGATGAATATGAATCTTTATTAAACAAACAGTAAATACCTGTAATCCGAAAAAAACATATGTAAAGAAATGCAGCTGAATACGCTTATTCGTTGTCACTCAATATAACGACTTACTGTAAATAGGTTACTGTAAATACTAAATTTGTGAATTTACGACTCTAGTAGGCAGATGAAGAAGCCGTCTAGGTCTTTGTAAAATTCAAGCCCATGTGGAATCGGTACCCATCCAGTCAAGGGAAGAAACAGATTGAGCAGATAATTAGTGGAATGTATGAATTTCGGATACACAACGGTAAGGGAGAATATTCAAAATTGATAGAGCTGTCTGCGAAAGGGTCCGCCTCGAATCCGCTCCAGAGCACCTCCTTCTGACGGAGGTCCGTTGCCGTCTGATCAACCTATCCCATAGTAGTACGGTTGTTGGTTATAGTAGTACGGTTGCTGGTTATAGTAGTACGGTTGTTGGTTATAGTAGTATTGCTGTGAGTAGTAGGGCTGACGGAAACCGAATAGACCTGTAATGGTGCAGTCATTGGAGTACGGGTGGTGCAGATAAAGTCGGATAATTTTGGATAACAGATGAGGATAAATTCGGAATTCCTGAAAAATGACACGAGTTACCACCTCCGAGTAACCCTAAAAGTCCTGGTCCTCCACCTCCGCCGTAGTAACCTGAAATGTTTATACATTAAGAAGGTTATTGCAAGGAAGCGGCTAAACTCAAAGCAGAAAAACCAAATACTTGAAACTATAGGAGAGAACATTCACCTCTGGATCCATAATAATCGCTCGAGTGAGATGATCTGGAAATTCTAAGATAAGTTGGTGTCATTCATGATAATTAATGTTATTAACTACGGACGACTGTACATTTGATCAACACTAAGACATAATAACAAAGTTTATTCCCAGGTAGCTACCAAAGTGCTCACCCTCCCCCTCCTCCCCAGTGGTCTCCATGGTCGTGGGCATAATGATCATGATCATGTCCGCCATATCCACGTCCGCCTCCACGGCCTGAAATATGGATCTGAGCAGAATCGACAAATTGCGGTGGACGTGGCGGTTAGTTCACCTCTCACATGAAGACGCACTGACCTCCTCCTCGGCCTCCTCCACGTCCTCCTCCCCCTCCACGACCGCCTCCTCCTCCGCCTCCTCTGGCTTGAACTGAAACGATTACACTGTCTATCTTTAGGTACATTTCAACTATCCCTTTGGAATATAAAAGTAAATTAGTAAGTAAACAGTAAACAAACAAGTAAGTAAACAGACAGTAATATTAATATGTTGATATTACTCTTATGTTAATATTATGTTGTTAATATTATGTTAATATTGTTAATATCAATATGTTATACTTGAAGGAGAGCGCCACGGAAGCAGCGTATCTGTCATTTTTCACATCTTTCTCCTTGATGAGGCTCATATTTCTGTTTTGTAAATGAAAGCTAAATGGGCAGGCATAAAATGATAACATAGCCCATTCATTCGAGTCCTAGTCGGCCTAGTATCCATCTGGAAATTCTTTCTGAAAATCTCTCTGAATAGCGATGTAATGAGAGGTAAGGCAGAGCTACGGGCACGTAGAGGGCTTCTGATGGGTCGAGAACAAGAAATATTTTTGAATTTTGAGATAGTGGCATACTATTATGTGGTGCTATTGCTGTTCTCGCCAGGGCTGTATAACGGCAGTATACCGGTAATCACATAAAGCAGCTCCTGTCCGGTAAGAAGGAACCCTAGAACTTGAAATAGGCATGAAATGACTGTGATATGTACCACTTCGAACTCTAACTAAGATCTCTGCACTGGAAAAGATAAAAAATGACACATGACCATCAGTATAGTATACGTATGTACGTATGTCGGTATCCTCGACCCAATGAGTCCGTAGTAGGCAGGAATTTGACTCCCACGATATAGCGTAATAGTCGAATAAAAGCATAATGAACCTTGTTGATGGGCCAGAAACAGGCAAATGATCAGCAAAGCACCAAGAGTCGAGCTCCTCATTTAACTGACCGTTGCATTGGTGATTCGAGCGGTAAAATCAGCGATACTCCGATTCTGATAAACTTTACAGCAGAACCGGGTTAACCGATTTTATCACTAGCTACTGAAAGACTACTGTTGGTCGCTGATTCCTATAGTTAGTGACTTCACTGGCACGATCGAAAATCATTATTCAGGGCGAACGATTTGTTGCAAATGGTATAGATGAATCATTAAATCTTCAAAGAGGTTCGCGAATGCAACATTACCGAAGTTATTTGTACTAAACCCACACGGTCAGTAGACAACATCTTCAACTAGTACTCCTAGGTAACGACATGTTTCGATTGTAACATAGCTAGAAATTTTCCATGTAGTGGTTGTATCTTATGATATCATGGACAGAACACAGAGGAGCATGCTTATAACTGTATGGAGAGTCGAATTCGCTATAACTGCTTATACCTGTTGTATAAGGTATGGAGTATGGTGCTGGATTGACCATTAATACTGTTTTTGTTTACTACTCCAATTCAACTTGTCTACAGCTACTTCTCTGCCGCAGTTGAACTTGCCTAGAAAACACACCGGAAACTTCACCGAATGTCATGGAGCACTTTATTGAATATTCATTCATGTATAATGGATAATATTCAATAGAAAAGAAAAAGGGCCGGACACACAACGTGTCCGCTGTCATGGAGCTCATATGAACAGGCATAGTCTTCGAAAACTTTTGGAGTCAGCGATAAGGCTTTTAGAGACTACCCATGTCTTCAGGCTACGACTACAGGGGAAATGGATGTGTAGGAGCGTAAAATCAATATCTACTTTGGAATACGCAACGATCACAAAGTTTCAAGGCGAAAGTAACTTGCAGGTACATCCCCAAATACAAAGTTACTGAGGGACAAAGGCTAGGCGCTCATGGATGATGGTCTTAGTGGGGCAAATAAACAGGCACACGCTGAGGGCCAGCCAGAATAGCCATCACTCCGAACTCTAGGGCGCCCCGTCTTCTTACCCATCGTCCCCCACACCATTCATCCATATCCATAGCTCGTGCAGCCTCCGTACTGGTATGTCGCAACTCCATTGCATACACAGTAATATTGCTGTTGCATACCAACCATTCCATAGTATTGTTGCACTAAAAAATCGTACTTAAGCATGTAACAACGTCTAGAATAAAGTTTTTATGACAACCTTCACAACCGGTACTTTGGCGGTAGTAATACGGCTGTTGATTGGAATAGTACGACTGTGAGTTGTAAGTGGGTTGGCGATAACCGAATAAAGCTGAAACACAGTGAATTTGCTCGGGCGAAGTAGTATAGGTTTTTGAGTATAAAAGTAGGATTGACATAGGCTGTGAAGTGCCCCTTTCTTATAATTCTCCATTAAATTCGATGGGTGACAAAATCGTGGGAGCAAGCCCCATCTTTAAACAGCAGTGAAGCAGTGAAATGACCAGCTTCTCTCCACCCGGAATGATCTCTCCTACACAAAGATTCTTGAGAAGAAACCAGGTCAGAATTCAATATTGCCTTTAGTAGCAACTTGATGCGCTGAGCGTGGCTCCCCCCGGTGCTTATGGTTCCCGTGGGCTTCGAAAAAAATATTGAACGATAAAGCTATGTGTTACCTCCTCCTAGCAGATCGAGTAGCCCTAGAACTCCACCTCCACCATAACTGCTGCCTAAAACGGCATTATAAAACTGAGGTTATATTAAACCTAGCTGGAAAGGTGGTTCAAGGAGATTCACCTCCATAGGATGATGATGACGATGATGATGGTATGGATGATGAGCCGAAGGAGTGAAAGCTTCTTGACCCTCTGAATCATTCATAAATCCTCTTATAAGGCTCTTTACCCAATGTGCAAAAGGTTCCCAAAAAGCCAAGGGGCTATGCAGCGATACAACGATCGAGAGTTATCTTCCTAGAACATTTGCTTTCAAGTTCATTCTTCTCTGAGAAGAATGAGAAATGAGAGGTTAATTGCCATTAAAAATAATTGAAGTGTAAATGAATAATGTAAACAAATGATATCGATCAGCCAAGTTCAGAAAGTATTTAGTTATCAGAGCTGGTACAGTACTTACTGGTACAACAATGAAAGAATTCATTGGTTTATTGTTTGTTTCCTCATATTGGCTCTAAGTTTTTACGGCATGAGATTGCAAAAGGGCTTAGACTTAGGCACACCAAAAACTTTCATGTAATATTTAGCAGCAGTAATTCGAAAGCTGTAGTACTTGATAGGCTCCATGCATGACAATTCCTATTAGAAAGGAGTTCTGCCTTGAATTGGTTGAAATCATTAGATACTTGCCCTATCCCTCGCCAGTGATGGAAATGGTGGTGTCCATGATGACTGTGGCCGATATGATGATGATGATGACCTGAAAACTGCATTGGATAGTTGGAAATATTTTCGAACACTGTTTTTGTTGTCAAGAGAAGAGTAAATCCCATCGTAATGACGTCTATTTCTCTGCAAGAACTCCTTCTTTTCCTTCTAGGATGAATCGAAAAGTTGCTTGACATCAAATTGTTTTACCTGCATGGGATCCTCCTCTTCTAGCCTCCACTAGAGCTGAAATAAAGAGAATTGATTATTTCTAGCTGCGTGAGCAATTTTGCAATTTCCTACGAAATCTGGGAGCTCGGAAATCTTTCGTGATGCGGGGAATGTACCATCGACAGAAAATCAAATCCACTAAAATAGGTTCCAATTCAGGAGACTTAATTTTAAAGCACACCATTGGGGCATGTTTTGAATTAGCAGAAGCAAGTTAGGGTACCATAGCCAGAAATTATAATTTCAAAGAAAAATTTGGATATGAACCTTGCTCTTGGACGAGGGACAAGCAGAGGATCACGGAGACACCAGCAGACCAGCTCCACATCTTACTGTCTAGCACGGTGGTATGGTTTTTTACTCCCACCCCCAGATCCAGGCGGGCATTCCAGTGAGAACCGGCTTGACCGACTAACACAACTTACTCGAAGGCTACTATGAAGAATTCGTCATTTCCTTCCTGATTGACGTCATTGCTGCGATCACAGGCTGTTTTGGGGCTGGATTTGGTGAGAATGATCTCGTGTTACCGGGGTGCAGATAGTCGCACTCCATCGGAGAACAAACACGTGCTTGAACATAAGCCAAGTTGTCAGTCAGACGGTACGAGGCTGGCCTAAATTAATTTCATTCGACGTTTAATAAAGTTTTGCAGCAGTTACAGTTGAAGAGCTTCTTTTCAGGATTACGGTATTTTGGTTAGATGTGCCCACCTGAATATTAGTCATAATTCTTCAAATAATCACGTCATGCTTTATTCCCGTGGAGTGCGATCAGCTCTGTAAAACTGAAGGCTTGCTTGATGATCAAATATTATGAAGTTCCACTGGAAACTGTACAAATTCCAATGAAATAATCAAACCGTTGAGCAGGAGAAAAAAGAAAAATTGTGTTGTTCACGCTCGACCGTAACAAGTATGGGTTCTAATTCCGTCTGAGGCTAAGCGGTTTGCCCATGGCTCTTCATCCATATAGATTTTTAAGAAGGGCCTTCAGAAACCCAAGGAATAATTTAAAAAGCTTCAACCAATGAGAATGATGGCAGGGTTGAACCGAGCACTGTATGGCAGTTGCAGCTTGACAGATCGGACGCCCTGACATCCTCTCTTTTTTCAGCAGGGCCATAGATGCAGGATAGAAAATCAGGCTTAATCATATTTTTCAATAATTTTTTCTTTATCTATCTTGTTACTTTGCTAAAATTTTTCTGATCCAATAACAAACAAATTTCTGAAATGATTCAGCATATGTAAACAGCAGTTTGCCCTTCCCTTATTGACGGAGCACCATTTATGGTATAAAGGGTGAAGAGAAGCTGAAAAGGTACATGGTTTTATTGATTGACGAGAAATTCAGTTTCCAGCTGGTATTCTCGCTCGAGCAGGCTCAATTCATCTCCTCTACCCTTCAGTGAATTCAATTCTTCAGAGTGGCTTCTCCTTATTGAATCTGCTCGCTTTACCTGTCTAAAAGTTCAAAATAAAAGTACTCAGTTGTTCCACACTAGAACTTTGTGGCTCGGTAGATTCCTTAAAAGAACCTTTATCTTGAAGAGCATAAAAAGAACTCTCTCCATCATGATTTGTGGTTTCTAAAGTCTACCCTTTACTCTTCAACAAAATACTATCTATTATCATGGCATTTCTATCTAGAAAACGAGTTTCAGGATGAGGCTTATGTTAATGGTCACATTCGCTGCAGCTGCAGCAGCTTGTGGCTGGGTAAGGAACATTTTACTTGAGGGCTTTTACTTTTCGATTTGAATTTCGATTACTTCACGACTGAGCCAATGACATCACCAAATCGGGTAAGGGATACTGTGAACTGGAACTCAGTGGCTTTTTCTGCCTTTAAGCAGATCGAGTTAAAGGGCGTGATAGAGAATGGTTTGACTAGAGTAGAGTTAGAGGTATAATCGTACAGAAGAATGTCAGCAAGAAATGTCCGAGGAGGATGTATTAATCCAATTCTACGATTAACATGAATCATATGAAGGAAATATTCTAACTCGTGATATCTCAGTTAAAGGGAGCGGGAGGACCGTTGTGAGCGAACCATGTTGTGTCCTGCTGTCACAGTAATCAACTCTAAACAACCGCTGAACTTTGAGTGCTTCCCTCTCGAAATATTTCCGCTTCCTTTCAGGTTTGTTGTTGCGGTCAGCCTCCGGTGTACCCTTTCTTGTATGGAGTTCCCTACCAAGGACTAGTGGATTTCAGCAATATTCTCAACGTTTGTATTTCATACTTACTCTTTTTTGCACATGAATGGTTCTATTGGCTTAGCATAAGCTTGATATCGAAAGAGCAGATGTTACTTCTCTCCAGAAGTTCTGGTGCCATTCCCTCCTCGAATAATAAGTACTCTCTTCTCACAGTGGGTCGGTCCAAAACATATGTAAATGAACCGAGGGCAGGGCCGTAAAATACCCCCTAAGCGAAAGTAGTTTTAAGGCACAGCACAACATGAATATTGACCTATGGAGCCCCTTGAATGAGTTTGCACAATTCGCTATTATGAGTTACAGAGTAAAGTTGATTGGGGCTACTGTAAAATTTGTGATACCTCTTACTGTACGGCATCATTAACTGCATGGAATAAATCCGAGAAAGAAACCAACGCTGTTGCAGGATAGGTCCTTGACGAGAGGACAATTGGAGAATAAGTTGCAACAGTGGGCTGATCAGTACAATGTTAGGGTGAGTGACAATTCACCCCAAAATGGGCTCTTTCAAAGCAATTCGTAGTTTAGGCAAGCTTCGACAATTTCGTGAAGCGAACTGATGAAATCAGGCTGAGAAACCAACAGGAAATCGCCAACGCTTTAGAGGGACTGAAAGCATTCTTCACTGAACTGGCTAAGGTNTTCAACTTGCTAACGGTCAAAGCATCCGAAGCTGCATCATGCCTGCTATGCACATTCTCTCCCGAGCCGGAATGTGACTACGGAGGCTACGGTGGAGGCTTCGGCGGTGGCTACGGTGGAGGTTTCGGCGGTGGCTTCGGCGGTGGCTACGGTGGTGGTTTTGGCGGTGGCTTCGGCGGTGGCTATGGAGGATTCGGAGGTTACGGCGGCTTTTTCCGAAGCCCTTCTGGGAAACAGCTTGCCAAACCTGACAAAAAACAAAAACCATCGAAAGGTGCTGGTAAGCTGGATGTTGATAGCACTGGTGTAGGCTATCCGTGGCATACTGGTAGCTATCGTGTCGACTTCAATGCTGGGAACAGAGGACAAAATGGCTTCGGTGGAGGCTTTGGTTCAGGAAACACAGGTCGTGGAGGATTTGAAAGAAGNCAAACCTGACAAAAAACAAAAACCATCGAAAGGTGCTGGTAAGCTGGATGTTGATAGCACTGGTGTAGGCTATCCATGGCATACTGGCAGCTATCGTGTCGACTTCAATGCTGGAAACAACGGAAGAAACAGCTTCGGTGGAGGCTTTGGCTCAGGAAACACAGCTCGCGGAGGGTTTGAAAGAAGAATTAAAGATAACAATAAATTCGGTGGAAGCTCAAATTCCGGTAATGTCTTTAGCCCATTTTTCGGAAAGAAATAAGCAATAAACCTTAATAAAAATGCATATCTAGCGTGCGTACGCAGGTTTCTTGCTTTCATTCTATATTCTCCACTCGTGATTTTAATTATCCTATCACCTGCTCTTACAACCAACAATGAAAAAGGACATTCAGCGAATAGGCAAACAGACAGCTCAGAAAACAACAGACAGATTTGCTGTTTTATATAATGAGAGGTTTTTTCGGAGTGCAAATACAGAGGGAAAAAATTCTGCAAATTCTTGCAGAATTTTCTAGTTACCACTCAATTTCTTTCAAAATTAGCTATCAATAGAGAAAGTAGAGAAATCAGTAGGCTCTCAAGTATTACTGTAGAGGCGGTACCATTTTGAAGTAATACTTGAAGGCCTTGCAGAGCAATGCCTTTTCGTCCCTGAAGTCGTAGATATATTCTTGTGAAAGTATCCTCCTTATTCCAGCAGAGATACTCACTAGAAGTGAATGATGGGTTTGGCCTTGAGTGGGCCGGTTTAAGTTAGCATGATTTAGTTGAGCTGAAACTTCTCCGATAGTTTGACTTCCAGGGCCCCAAAATAACTAGAGTTATTATAAGGTGGGACGAGGAAGCGTATGTGTATGTGAGGCGCCATTACGGACAGCATACACGGCCCACAGACTCATAAGTTGTCTGGGGCTTTCGTTAGATTGTTGTATGCTCACATCAAACCAAAATAATTTATTATCCATACAACATATGGAAATGGGAGCGCAGTTTGATTAACGTGAAATTCAAGATGCTAATTGATGATAATTTTTCGGAATATTATCGTGTACGATTCCAAGGATTAATATTACTATAGCATCTCTTTCTATTAACCATTATTGATTGAGTCTTTGAGTCATGAAAGTCTTGAAGTCATTCATAAAACGTTGAGTCTTCTCCTTGTATTTCCCGGGCAATTTTGCCTGAAAAAGACGTTTGGTACTGTAATGATTCATCTCTTCAGTTCCATGAAACATAGGCACTAAAACCCCCTAGTTACTTTCGTGGGAGGGGTGATTTGTGAGTCTGCCTTTTTTGTCATTGAGACTATAGGTGCAGGAAATTCGAAGTTCATTATTCACTACTCAGAACTATAACCCTTATTACACACACATTATCAGGAAGGGGAATGCAAGAAAATCGAAAGTTCTACCATGAAATATCCTAATACTCACACGAATATAGTCGATGACGCTTATGTAGACGAAAACATAGAGGACGTCTACCGGTATGGAGTTTGCCCTTTGATCCCGTAGTTTTTTGAAGACGTCAACTGTCTGAAAAAAGTAGTTTTTGGACTGCAGTACAGCCAGAGATCATCTCCATCGCCCTTCTCATCTCTCCCTGAACCTTGACCAAAGAGAGCGTGAAATCTACTTTGACATTACTCCTTGGTCGTTATCTAGTGCTCACAAGAGGAACGTAGAAAAGTACTTCACTGAATTCCATCCCTTTTTCCGTAGCCCTGCGTACTTGAATATGGTAAGCCTCAGACTATCAGAATAGGTATACAGCGAAACTCCTTACATCAACTGGTTTCCCAGCGAACAATTGGCGTAGTATCACATCGATCATTATGATACAGCCTGTTCTTCCAACTCCAGCTGAGCAGTGCATCACTACGGGACCACAATCCTGCTTGTCAGCCTGAAATTGAGCGTGCACTTCAGAATGTGGAGAATTTAAGACAACTAGTCATCGCTTCTTGTTAAAGTTAAGCTATTTTGTGTGAGCCGCTCTGCAGGGATAGAGAGCTTAACGAAATCCTCAAATCTGCTAATCCAAGCTATTCCGATAGCCCTTTCCCCTCCCAAGGAGCCCTCAGATCCATTGTGAAAGGAAGGAGTGTAGGTTTGTGACAATCTGGTATGGTAACTTCTTCCCGAAAATCGCGTCGTGTTCGTCGCATCGGTCCGCGCGCAGTCGCGCGTCCACCACTGCCGCTTGTGGGATTTCGGAGGGGTGTACTGATACCTCTGATAATCGCTGATAAGAAAGTATAGCACGTGATTAGACCTTACCACAACTTTCCTGAGTAGCCGAAGCACATGACGTCCACTTTGAGGAACACCTTGATCAGGCCAAGTTGTCATATGAATCAATTTGACGATGTGTGAATCGGAGCAACCTTCTGGTACCAGTTCAATTGTATAGATGGTGAATTTGTCTTCTGATTCGACCTGAAGAGCCATTTTTTCCAATTTAGAGTTCAAGTAACCTTTGTATAGGCAAACAAGTAGACCTTTTTAGTATTTACAAATATTTTGCCATATGTTGTGAATTTCCCAGCTTCAGCTGGCCAATACAAACTGCATTTTATTTTTTCTTGTTCGACAAACTGCAATGAACGGCGTGACAGTCACAGAAATCCGTCTTATACTATGCGAATAGCTAACCTTAGTTAGATTCACGATACTTGGACATTGTTCTTGGAAAATCATCCTCCAGAAGTCGCTTATAGTGTTATCAAGTGGTCCCTAAACATCAAAATGATCTTGTACATTAACCAAAACAGTGGTATGAAGCTATGATGAAGCTGGACGCGTGAATCGGTTGTCGTTCGCTCTCAAAGCGAATTTTCCGCGCGCGGCGAGAGACGAATGTGAGCGGTACAGCGACGGGGGCGTTGCCACGTGGTTGTGCTTCCCAACAGCACGAAAAAGACGCCTGGTTATGTTGTTATAGTTCTCATAGTAGTAGTTCCAAACAGTTTTGTAGCTCGTGGCTGCTGCTAGCTAGTTGTCTCACCTCACGGCATTTTTTTGGGACTATTTGCGTCTTCCCATCAGTCGACATCAACGACGATTACTCGGGTAGCCTCGCTTTTTCTGTTTCATTTTGTCAGCTTTACTTATCAGTAGTTCTTTTTACTGTGACACCGTGTCTACTCGTTTACTGCTTACTGTGTTTTTTACTGCACTCCGTGTTTTGTTACCTTTTACTTGAATAGCGAGGTATAATCGCAATTTGAAGAAATCTTACCTGAGTTGCAATAAATGTTCGATCATGTCTATCAAACCGTACCCAGTTGGCATGTATGTAATCGGTAGAAGGAGGTACGTCATATTTAAGTACAACTCGTGTTTTATCTAAGCACACAATGTCCTGAAAATGGGCACATTTTTAGGAATGGGTAAAGTTCCCATCGAAAGTAGGAGCAATTCGTGGGAAAGTGTACCGATTTGCTTACACCGGAGGGAGGGAGGTTACCTGTTTTAGACCGGTCAAGCCGGGTTTGGCCACCTGACAACGGCTTAGGCTACCTTTCCTTTTACTGTTTGTAACTGATGTTTCACCCATCATGAACCCCGAAAATGAGTAACAATTCATTCTGATGGAATAGGGAAGTAGAAAATTTCGAGAAGACTCACTTGATAGCGGTTCCGTGTCGGATTCGCGGTGAACGCTGTGTATTTATATATCGCATCAGGGGCCCGATAGGAGGCTATCTCTTTGTATTGTTTTACAATACCTTCAACACCTGAAAATACTCGTTTAGGAAAGTTCCACAGAGTGAAGCAGAGTAGTTCTTTCACATAATAGCAACTCTGAAAAAGGGGCAGAAGGTTAAGTTTCCTTTCCGCTGATCGCTGTGAGTCGGGAAGAGCCCCACATTCGACATCGCATTTTAGAATCGTATAGAATTTAGAATAGAATGATTTCTGGAAACCGGCCTATATTCAAGTCGCAGCTCCCATGGCCCCAGATTGTTCTAGTAACTCAGTCTACCCGAGAACTAATGGCTTACCAGGGAGGGGTAGTCTACTTATCTTGGAACTTTGAATCCAGACCCAGATAAATCGATAGAGTTTTGAATGCTGTTTACGAAAATGGAAATTAAAACTGCAAAATGATTCTCCTTAAAAAGTTATGGGGGCACGGATTTTGCTCGACAGTAGTATCAATTGTCAAAAGAAATATCAGAAAACGTTTAGAGAGCCCTCGATTAAATGAAAAAACACTTTGCAAAAGTGCGGACAATGGCGGGGAGGGCCCGTCATTTTACGTCAACGAAGCGAGACAACTACCACTAGGTCTCGTGGGCGTTTGATATGGAAGCGACGAGTTCGCATTTCCAATTGATACTACTGTCGAGCAAAATTCGGGCCAACATAAATCTTTAAGGAGAATCATTTTGCAGTTTTAATTTCCATTTTCGTAAACAGCATTCNGTTCCAAGATAAGTAGACTACCCCTCCCTGGTTAGTTGGCATAGGCTGGTATCAATGGAGGATTCGATCCCCCGACCGTACGTGTGCTGGTGCTCTTCCTTCACACCCAGTTCAAGAACAATAAGGAGAAGTGGAATAGAGGATTCCCCCAGATGCTCACCGCCGCGACTTCATATTGTGGCCTCACTGTTCGAATTCGAATGTATCCTTTTGCTTGCTAGAGATCGGCTAAATAGGAGATGGATAGGGATAGGGAAGGGTGAGATGGGAGATACCCTAAATTTGTTCACGGCAGTGGAGCAGTCAGCAGATGTTATGGCCAGGCTCAAGGACAGCTTGTCACTCATTTTGGCTTAAAATCGGCATATTGAAATGTCTCTTACCCAACTCCAACACCTGGTCCACGTAATAATCGATACCCTTTTCAACATTAGGAGATATATTAGCTCCTGACACTTTTTCCTGTGAAGTCTGAAAGTACATGGTGCACATTTGAACGAGGTCGGTCTAGCCTATAGATCTTTTGTCAATTCATCGTTCTCAGGGACAGAAACTATGTCTTTATTTAACAATTTCGCCCAAGTCTGCTCTGAAGGCACAGTAGAGATGGTGGTTCATAAGTAGTGGTCTAGTGGTTTTGTGAGTGATCTCTCCTAGATGAGGGAGATGGGGGATATTGTCACATGTTAGCTTTTAACCATGATCGGTACCGTTAAATAAGTGCACTGTTGTCTACATACAACCTTTTTCGGAATCGGCGACTTTTCGCCCATCTTCCTTGGGACTGAATCTGGTGCCTCCTGAAAAAGTACCAATTAAAACACCCATTGATATGACTCACCTTTATTTCCATCCCATAGGTGTGTTTGCAGTGGTGGAGGCTTCTGCCAACCACGCTCACCACTGGGAGGAGAAGTTTGCGAGAGAGAGCTTCGTAGAAGATCCGTGATCCAGGAAGGTACATACGTTCGCTGAGACTGCCTGTCTAGCTGATTAGTAGAGTGTCTTCGTCGTGGGTTCCACAAGCAAGAAGACCTCTCCGCGAAAAGTGTTGGAGGCAAGCCGGCAGGAGTAGGTTGAGTAGTACAATGAACCAAACCTAGAAAGTTAGCAGTTTATATACGGCTACTAACGGTATGATTACCCATCAAAGACGTCTGATAAGGTCACTTTGTTCATTTTGGATGGTTCATAGCCTTCTGAACAGCCTAGGCAAGCGGGTCGCTAGAAGAATTTGGCCTTCTTCAAGCGCCTGGTCAAAGTCGTCCCCCTCTGGAGTACTCCAACATCGGCTTAGAGTCAGGCGACTGCCAGGATCCATTCCCAATCCCAGGATTCATTGGCTATTGGGGGAGGGAACATCGCGCTGTATCCGACATGTGTTACTGCAGTTTTTACCAAGAGCTGCTGACTAAAACAGGGCGCTTCTTGGTTGACTGTCTGTTTGGAGCGCCGAAGTGAATCGCAATTCGTATCTGGTCAGCGAAATTCCAACAGGTCCCCAACAAATAAATTCAGCTTGGTACCAGAGCTCTAATAGAGGTCAGATGAGCTCTACCTACCCATTCCATCTTGTTTGATTCACAGACCTTCGACGCTTCCCACTCTTAGAGTTTGACTAGGAAAATAGCAAGTAGGGCGCGTTACAGCGGTGGAGCGCGAAAGATCGCTCCGTGTTACCATAGAGACGGCTAGACCAGCTGTCCCAAAAACAGCCATTATTCGACTAGGCAGACTTCTCAATTGATGCAGAATTTCAAATCTCATTATTTTCTGATTCTCTCTCATCGTTTTTTTCTGATTTCCTGTGTACATATTGACTGACTAGTCCCTTACCCTGGAATCTCCTACGAAGTCTTTTATCAATTTTGACATTGTGTTGAAGGATTCGTTCCTGAGCTATAAGTAAAATCTGAGCTTGCCTTTTTCATGTTCCGGCATGATATCAAAGTTTTAACATAAATTCATACAATAGGTGAATTGCCTCTTGTAGTCCCATCCTGGCTGTGTTCCCTTGCAGGGGCGGTGTGCCCAGAGTTGTGGGTGGACCAACCCAACTCTTGGGCATGCGGATCATCAGCTGGAAAGGAGGTCCTTTGTTAAAAGATCCCAAAACTATCTCGAACTGCCGCACCTGAGAAGAATTAGGAAAATGAGTAGATTTTATTCGTTGATGGGATCCAAAGCTTCCCTTTTTCCGATTATTTCGGTCCATGTTTTATGACTTTCACTACTGAGCGAAATTATTCAGGTAGGTGTAGCTAGAAATGGAATTGAATTTTATGCGAGTGGATTTTGCACAAGTTGGTACGACAAATAGAACGTGCATGCGAGTAATCCCATCCGAGAAACTTGACAGATCAAAGAAAAAGCGGCCATTGGAGAGGGTAAGAGGCGTGATAGCCCTTTTTCTGAAGAGTACCCATAACAACACCTTTTTAAGGTCGTCGTGGGAAGTCAGAATGGCTGCGTGATTTGCCTTTGTCGGAAAAACAACGACACACAAGTAAGTTGAATTTGATAATGAGAAGAAAACATCTTGGGTCGTTGACCATGTCTAGTGTACATAGGCCTCCATGGTTTACTTCGAATTGCCTTTTATTGATCGACGGAGAACCGCGCCGCATATGTGCGCACGCGTGAGACTTTCTTAGACATGTCAACTGGAAAGTTAACCATTTTGCGACTACTACTTTTGTACCCCCTTAATGCAGCTTTCAGATCATCTACAAAACATTACCAGGACCTCCAATTGAAGCCTTATGTCTTGGCGGAGCCCTTGGCACACTTCAGGACAAAGTAGGTAAAAGTTTTCCAATTCTAACACCTCCATCTCTAGGTCATTCTATTGAATATTCGAAGTCTGCAAAGTTGCGTCGACTAGTAGAGTTCGAATGCCAATTGATGGCGATGGTGAAGAACCGAGAGGCGCTAATAGCAGTTGTATGAACGAGGGATCAAAACCATCCTGGTCTAATCAACCCATTGAACAATCTGCACCGTATTTCAGGTATTCGTAGCCTCAGGTAGCAATGTACGAGGTATCGGGAAGAAAGGGAAACAGTTCTTCTCCTTTGATACCAGCATGGCGGAAACGGCAAAGAGAATGTGAGTGAAGCGTTACTAGTCAAAAGGTGCATGCTCAAAAATTTCAAAACCTCACTTTATTAAAATCATCGAAGGAATTCGAGCTTTCTTGAAAATTGTTGCTTTGATTCAGGTTCATTCACGGTGTCGATCTACTATTGACCGGTCAGAAAAGTGTCAATCATTATCACGACTGCGCTGATGCCAATGTGGGTGGTCTTTTCGCTTTCTGTTAATTTTCATATTACTTTCTAATCTGCGATCCTATTTCTAATGTTCAGGAAATCCTCTTGATTGACTTGGTATTTTATCGGTTTAATTTCTAGTTTCTTTTTCCATAGAAGCGTTCCAAATTTGGAAGGCTAAGGATTACAATTCATACCATTGTTGTTCAGTGGTACCGATTTTTACATCATTTTTTGATATGCTTTCATAATACTGAATTACTAATGTCAACAGTGGGAAATAGACTCATCGAAGCTGGCTGCGTCTACAGCATAAATATTTATAAATATTATTTTCTACCCAAAACATGTGCTTTTACATCTTCTTCGCATACCGTTTCCGCATAGCGCTCTACAGAGTTGCCACGGAAATTGAGCTTACTGATTGATTCACCCCGTCACTGGAAACTTTTCAGTATGTTCTGTGCCCCGGAGATATACTGGACGTCGTTTGCCTTATATCTTCTACTGGTGCATGGAGTGGACGACCGTTTACCACACTTGTAGCGTGCGCGGATGCCACTATTAGGGTAAGTTCAGTTCTGGAGACCTGCGTCACAAGGTTATATTCACACCGAAACTTACCCGGGGGTGTACGGAAAGAATGAAAGGGCATTCAGTGCTAGATTCGAAGAGTTTATCTCATCTCAGTAGTAGGGACTTTTTCGGATTACTTCGATGCATACACCGAGTTACTTTTTTTAGATATGTAAAGATGTGGGCTCCTCTTCTCCCCCTAACACTACCCTCCCCCATCCGGTCCCGTCCCCTCAGAATCCTCCTCTTGTCCATCAGATAGCTCTACAGTATGGAAGCAGGCCCGACATCTCTTCTGGTAGGTCTCCCACGTGAGAGAATTCTGGCCTTTGTATACGTACTTCATTTGAGTGTATAGGCTCAACTTGTGAATGAGCATCAGTGGAGCGAATTCTGTTTTATGTGCGATACTATGTGGCTTATGCCGTCAATTTGTATAAACCGCACCGCAAACGCTCGCGCAATTCCCATATAATGCTTTCGCCTTAAATAAGGGACACAAAAGTATCTGCCAGTCCGCTATCATAATGTATTCTAGTGTCTTACAACAGTGATATGTGAAATTTGTAATGGTTTTTATCTGGTTTAGGTTATTGAAGGATCCAACATAGCCTACGAGGTGCAACTGAGTTCAGTGCCACTGACTCTCTACTTATTCATGGGCGATGGAGGTTAGGCTTTTTCTTGATTATCTCACTCAAAATGCACTATTGTAACATCTACATATTTTTCATGGCTAACGCCAGAATGACAAAATAGTAACGGATCATTCTACACTTGGGAGATGCGCCATGATTTTAATTCAGATTTGTAGAAACGTTTGGAAGGGTATTCATTCGATACAATGTAACCCAACTTTCCATTTTCTCTGTAGCTAGTTGTCTTGCGAGGCCAGCTAATTGTAAGATCTTTTTCTCCGCCATCGTTCTCCCTTCGGTGTAGATTGGTCTCACCAAATTATTGAACAGATTAGGGCATGCATGACTCTAAAAATCATTCGCTCACCGAAAAAAAAATATAGAAAGACTACTGAAACTTCTGAATGACTTTGAATATACTGGTTGGAATGATTCCCTCATTTTTTTACTTGAAGGTCACACAAAGCAGTTGGTGTTATACGGTACTCGGGATGGGAGACTTGGACTCCTAGATGTAAAACCTAAAGAAGGTGAAATCAAATGGGAAATCAACACTACTTCCGAAGGAGGTTTGTTTCTCAGCTATTTTATCGAATTAGGGAGAGACTTGCGACAAAATCAAGACTACTAATCGCAGGCGAAAAATGAAAAGGTTGTAAAAAAAACCCGGTCAGCAAATAGGAGCAAAGCAAGCCGCAACTGGGAAGCTTCTGAGACTTGCATATACGCGAGTTCTGTCACATGTCGCTATCGCTTCATCATAACTAGTTTGACTAGTAAGAATGCAGATTTACTGTCTATCTGGGCCGCAAATTAAATTCCCAGTTAACGATAATATCATGTACTTTTTGATCGGTCAAGTAGGGAGGTGTTCATGGGCAGTTCATCTGAGATGAAGATAATGAGAGAATAGTAGAAACGCGAAATATAAAACTTTCTCAGCCAATCGTTACTCAGGTTGGACGAGGGTTTAGGCGGCCGAATTTAGGGTAGCCTGCCTAGAGGCAATGGATTTTTAGCGACAAGAATCCTTCCAGAACCACTTTTTTCAGGAATTGTCGACTTTCTTAAAGAGAATAGAGAAAATTTTCCAGGAATCACTACAATCAAGTGCTATCCTTTCACGGAATCTGATTACCCTGATATTTTGATTGGAAAAGATGACGGTGTTTTGGAGATTTACACAGTTGACAATGAAGATTGTGTTACACTGAACGGGTCATATGTGAGTCAAACCGACTTTTTGTGTTAGAAATCAGCTTACTTGCATAACCTCGAGTAGTTCACTGATTCTGGAAAAAATTCCACTAAACCCTTTCACTCTAGCACTGCGAAGAGTCGATCACGGGGCTCGACTGTGGACGTGTCGGTTCTGAAGAAGAGAATGAAATCATCATCTGCACCTATACAGGTATCAGCTTCATGACTACGGAAGGGTTCAGGACAGTGATTATTGTGCTGATCGGGCCTGAAGCGTAGATTCCACCAGTGTGGCTTCAAATATATCTTACTAGGTGCTCCAGTTCCTATGCTGACAGGAAGTTTGGTGTTTGTATGTGAGAATGATTAGTTATCGCTCCCCAGTACAAGAGATCGGAACACGAAAACCAACTTTCAGGATGGCTTTTTTCCTTGACACCGACCAAATCTGGAGCTGTTCCACAGGTAACGAAAGCAGCAAATGTAAACGTAAAGGTTCAGCAGCTAAAGTAAGCTTTTTCATAGAGAATTTCACGTTATTTAAATTGTCTAGAAACTTATCAGAGTATTTGTGAACAGTTTCACTTTGGAATGGGCCATGATTGAAATGGGTGATAAATTCCTTCGGCCCGACAACTGTGTAGATTGTAGCATAGGATTTGAGCAAACTGGAATCATTTTTCTCCGATAACTTCTTCAAATCCCAGTACTTCTCATAAGCAGAACATGTGCTTTTTTGTGGTAATCGTGAGTAGAGGACAGAAGGAAGTTCTATTTCTAATCTAAAAAGATCCAGGTGAAAGGGGACAGACAAATGAATCAGTGGGCAGATAGAAGAAGAGCTGAGCCTGGGTTCAGCAGTGAAAAAAGCTCGGTTTGATGTTTTACCTCAACAAAATTGAGAATCGAGGCCCTCGGTACNTAGAGTTGATGCCATGAGTAAAATAGCCAGGCATGATAGCAATATTTTTTTGGCTTGACCATATGCCGCGTATTTATTTTTGCTTTTTGTGACGAAAAAGGACCTTTCAATGTGATTTTAGAAACGAAATCGAAGAATTGGAAACGAAATTGAATGAAGAACGTCTTCGTTATGGTGAAATGACGAAGAAAGGCGGATCACAATCGGCATATATTCCGACTTTCCAGGTGGGACCTTATAAAGGGCCTGACGATCGAAATTGACGAACATCTTAAGCCCAGATACGAACTCTAAAGCCAGTTGAACTCAAAGTATTGCTGAATTGGAAGGAAATGCAAAATCATTATTAAAAATTACAATTTCTTGCTAATATTCTGCTCCGAGCTTCTCAACACCTGCATCGGGTTCATACCAAAGCTCGTGTCCCTCTTAACCGCATGATTTAAATGCCTATAGATCGGTGGCACGAGAGTTGTGGCTTCGCTTGGTGCCCCCTTACTTCTGATTACTCCCCTGTCCGATGGTATTCTACATGGGAATCGATGATTTTTGTTCAGCCCTCCGCAAAGACTGCATAACTAAATAGTAAAGTGATGAAAAATCTATATCACTAATAGAAAAACTATAGAAAAATTCATTTCAGATCCATGACTCCTTTGAATTCTCCCCTCAACATGACGCTTATTCGCTTACCATCGAACTAGTCATACCCATCGATTTTATAATTGTTCAGGTGACAACTAGTCCGTTCATTATCTTTACTACCTTATGAAAAATACGAAAACTGTGCAGCTCAGTAATTTTCAACATTCAGAGTAAAATGCCTGCTCGTTTGGTTGAGGTGGAACGGAACGCATCAGTTGTTTGTCAACAACCTCAAAGTGAATATGTGAGTTGTCGTCAGTTCGTAGCCGTTTCTCACAGGATTTCTTGAGAAAATCCAACTCTGAAAATCTCGAATTTTACTGCTGTAGAGCTGACATCTTTGAGAATACATGGTTCTCTATTGCGAAGGAAGTACGAGAAGTTAGGTAGCACCGTAAATTCGTACTTTCCAGAAAGGGATGGCGTTTGACCTTTCACTTTTTGGCTGTGTTTAGTATTTCCACTCGAAGGTGCTTCTTAGGGATTAGGTGTAGAAAAGTGGAATTTCGAAGCGGGTGGTATGGTAGAGAGGCACGTGGTATGGTGGAGAGGTACGCCAGTACCCACATGACCCGAGGTTGGAATCTCGAAGTGACAGCTGCTCATACCAACCAAGTTTTTCATCCTTCCGGGGTCGGCTGATTGGTACAGACTTGTCCAGGAGGATAAATGCACTGACTTGTACACGGGGTAGCCACCGCAAGTCATTGTAGGCCAGGTACGCAAACAAACACCACTACAATTCCTGATGGAAGTTGAGCGCATTGGCGTGTCTCCCGTGCAGGATCGATCAGCCTGAAAAGGCTAGATCTTCTATTATTTATCCTTTCTGACCCTTTCTGACCTTATCTTCAATGTTGAATAGGTTTATAGACCATCATCTGATCATTTCATACAGCTTCGATCCCTATCAGACATTCATGTTCAGAATCCATGGTCACTGCTAGCTTCATATAGATGCCAAGCGAATGTCAGTCGAATCGAGTTACGTGTGAAGGTTGACGAAGGCACACATGGCTCCGTTGTAGTTTATATTTGCCCGAAAACACATCCGAAGACCGTTCAGGTGAGGAGAAATATTTTGGAATATTCTCAATTTTTTATATCCTACGAATTTTTTTCGGTAAAGTTCCCGGTTTAATTAACAAAATAAGAACACTTCATATGCATCAATGATATTCACGTACTCAATGCATCTGTAAGCCGTTTCTATTGAGCTCTCCATAAATGGGTTCATCTGACGAGTGATTCAACATGAAACTCCAAAGGCACACTTAAGTATAAAATTACCTGTGATCTCCAAAGGTAGTATAAGAGACGCTTTTAGGTTGAAAAACAGATTAGATAAGGCGTTTGGAGGGCGCCAAAACCGACTTAGCTGGCTTACACACCCAAAAGCGGACTAGTTGTCATGTCGTTGTTGAGGATAGACGTTGCTCCATTCGCACCGGGCCGTACACATTGCCCGCAGGCAGCTAGCTGTTCGCAGTGGAACGTATATTTGGATTTTCGAAACTTCTTCGTCACTTTTACTCTAATCTGTACTGTCAGTTCCGCTCTTCATCTGTAACTGAATTGACCAAAATTATCGTGAACCCTCCATCTTGCCAAGTTTTGTTGAGAAAAACTAGGTCTTCGGTAAGCATGGCTTGAATTTGGTTATTCATTTTCCTCTCGAAATCATGACCACACCTTCTTCTGGTTTAGATTCGATCTTACGAAGTTAAGCCTCTTTCTTCTCACAATCGAGTACACTCCTTTGATCTTAGCCGGCCACTAAACACTTTGTCGTTTTCTGGTGAGTTTTTTTTGGAATGAATGTGCTTTTTAATTTTAAAATTATTTTTTTCTCGTCAGTTACCCAAGATTTCCACCAGGGGGCTTAGTTTTGGAGGATTGTAGCGTATTTATTAGGGATGACCTAATAAGAAAAGGACGGAAACGGGTAGGATAAAAGGGATGAACTATTTGGACAGGAAATATACCAGCCAAAGACTGCGACTTTTACCAATCCATCCGATTAGATGAAAAAGATTCAAAAAAAGCTACGGATGTGAAAAAATAAGGAGTAGCGGTTAACGAAGGCAACTTAGTTACGTATACAAATGATGTCTGAATTTTTTAGGAAACTTTTCGCTTGCCGAAGCTCACGCATGGCTGTCGATGATTGTACCCGGCGTTCCCACAAAACCTCCACCTTCAGATACCGTCACCGTCAATTACCAATCCACTTCTAATGCTCCAACACAGCTTCAAGCAATTTACTCGTAGGATTTCATTCTGCCTTTGCAAATCAAAGTCGTTTCTGCTTTCTGAAGATGAGTTCTGGCTGTTTCCAGAAAAGGTTCCATTACGTTCCGATCCGATTCAATTTCTACGATAGCCATCATTCGTGACATTATCAGTGAAGACACCACAAATCGTCAAATCAAAGTTCAGATCTCATGCGGTGAGCTTTAGGTTTCTAGAGTGTAGTGTTTAGTGAAAAGAAATTTGTGCTGTATGGGGTGGGTTAGCTTTTTAAGAAGCCCTGCGTACCTTAAAGGTTTCATTTTTTCATGCTTGCACTTCACAGCAACTATACGTAATCAAAACCGCTTTAAAAATAAGCCCTTTCACCTTCCCAGAGGAAATCGTGGAACTGCTCAGTATTCAGTTCATTCACAACAGTGATGACGTCTTTAATGTGGCTTACACAGCGACTTACTGTGGCCAGCCGATGTACTTGTCAGTATTTCTATCTCCAAGACGAGGAAGATATCAAAAGAATGATACTGGGAGGTTGGAAGGCTCATTGGCCTAGGAATCGGTCGAAGTTCTCGTGTACTACCTTTAGCTCCAATTTGTTCGCAGGAACCTCTCTGACCGTTCTGGAGGTATTCAGGAGAACAAAGTGTCCCAGATTCTGAGCTTTCATCTCCCTTTGAGTTGAAAAGCTTCCGTAATTCCACAAAAATTGGAACTCGCTATGAAATCCCCCTTAGGTATCTTCTTGGCAGAATTGTAGCTGAAGACATTGGCATTAGAGGCGCGTTCCATGAACAATCGAAGTTTTTTATCGGTCTAACAGAATTGTCGTGGTATTTTACTAGTTGGAAGTCAGTTAGCTGGTAACAGGTTTACCAAGAAGTCTAGAAGTACCGATGTACAAACTGTCGACTAGAATCATTATGCTGATAACGATAAATATCGTCGCGATCCCAAAAAATTTCAAATGCATGGCTCACTCCAAAGGGCACTGTTTCAGTTATTACGAGTGCTCATAAAATCACCATGATCGCTTTATATTATCGTTTTGATTTTGACAGATGTCAATGACGCCAGTGTGGATCATTGCCTAAAGCTGATGCATCCACGTATGACACATCTGTTGAATCTGGAAAGGCGAAAGCTCATGGCTGCGGCTTTGAAGGTAGGTCTGCTCATTACTTCGGACCACTAGAACAACTTGAATGAGTGAAAGCCATGGAACAAATTCACTATATACTTCAGAGTAGAGAAAATAAACTCAGGAGCAAATTGAAGGATTAATCAGTTCTTATTTAGCTATAGAGCCACGGAATCTCCGGTCACATTGGAAACATCATAAGTATCTCAAAAATTTACTAGGCTCCTCTGTTTTTACCGTGATCTTGCAACACCTCCATGTAAATATTGTTATTTTACACTCTGTGGTACTGTAGCGTGGGAGGGGGGATTACGGTGATGTTTCGGCGATGTTTCAGTTTCTGTTCTTACTTTTCTTGTTCTTCGTTCTCATCTACCTACTTTTCCGCTGATTAGTGATTTATTTACTTTCTTTCCTGTATTATTCAATACTTTTAGGAATTGGAAGCGAACAGTGGTGATGTATCTTTCTTGTCAGAGCAAAACAAGAAGATTCTTCAGGACCATGACAAAATTTTCCAGGACGCTGAAAAGGATTCCATTGAGGTCTGGTGTTCTCTCCCAATACCCAGTATTCGAATTGAAATTTAGTTTCTAAAAAATTACGAAACGGCCTTCCAGGACAGCAGTATCTGCGGATTATACGAAGCTCTCTTGCTGAACAGGGCTCGGCTACATGGCCAAAATGCTCGGGGAAAGATAGAGGCTCTCCGGGAACTCCTTCTGAATGATTACTCATTAGAAAAGGTGATTGCATTCTTCAAAGCAGCAAATGACGAGTCATCGTTACGATATTAGAATAAAGCCTATTGAATTATTTGTTGTGCTGAAACTACGCTTCGTAAGAATCTGATCCTCGTACCGTACATGTAGTGACGGCGCCTTTGGGCTTTTCCCCTTTCGTGCTTTTATGAATCTTTCAAACGGCCCACGGTCCAACTGCTGACAATATTTTGTTTATCATGTTTCATGACAGTTGTGTTGGCCCCCGTATGCAATTCTAATGGCAAACACAGGGGAAGTGGGAAAAGGGAACAGTCCCTATCGCCTCGTTGCATGACGATATTTGTTGATTCACATGGACGATAGCGGCAATAGAGTTGCTAAAAAGTAGAAGTGCTTGTTGAAGGTCGGAGGGTGAAAAGTGCGAATTTAAAAAATGCCTCATGTTTCCCTGACAACCAGAAAATCTTCCTCTCAAATTTTGCTCAAACTCGAAAAAAAAACTTGAATTCTTCTGACTACGATTAACAGAAGCTTTTTTTTTCGATCGCTGTGTCCCTTCCTATTTTATTCTTTATTTTTAAAGTTACCCTTTTGAATCGAAAAGTAATTACCAGGAAGAGATATTGTCATAGTGAAAAGTGCGATTTAAATAAATGTCCACTGACTTTCTGCCCAATTGTGGCAACCTTTTTTATCTTCACTACTGCTCAATAATTTATCAAGTTTCAAAGCTGTTTCCATCATTGAGGTTTCTTTCCAATGTGTTGTCGAGTTTTGGGTTACCTCTCGATGATATTACCATTTACATTCTGATATCATTTTGTGGATTACCGCTTGTGTAGCTATGATGGGAACTGAGGGCAAGGAGTTAGCCAGAACCTGTAGACCTTTTGTTCTTTCTGAACATTCACTTTACGTACCTCCTTCATGAGTGTACTATGCCAGCTAGTGACATTCCATGTCGATGGGAAAATTGAAAAGTAGAGTGAAGTTAATTTTCTCAAAAGCCTAATCAACTTGAAAAGCTCACTGGCCGAGTCGATAGTAGTTTCCTGAGAGAAAAAGGCTGAACGAGCAGCTCTGTCATTTTTATGCACTTTCATTTCTTAAAATGATGCAGTTCGTATAGTTTTGCATACTATCTGCATGTCTGTCAACTTGCTTTCATTCTACATCACATGTTTTTGTGTCTGTCTATCTGTCTGTCTCTCTGTCTACCTGTCTATCTGTCTGTCTGACTGTCTGTCTGTCTGTCTGTCTGTCTGTCTGTCTGTCTGTCTTTTTTCATTCCCTTTCCTCCTTCTTTTCCTTTCCTTTCTTTCTTCTTCGCATCCTTTTTCTTCTGTTTACTCTCTTTTCTTTCCAGCAACTTCAACATTCTTTGTGGTCCTCGCCGGACAATTTACGCTACCAGTCCTTACGTCTGTCTACTCGCCTCATCACTTTTCAGTTCATCTGTCAGTATGCCCTTCCTCAATATTTGGAGTTTTGCTTTTCCATTCGGCAATCATTTTGTGCTGTCTGTTTATTTGTTTATCTTCCTATCAATTTCAATGTTTGAATAACTGTTTATAACCGTTTGGCATTCACACACTCACAGACACATATTCAAAGGTATACGTGAATCAACGCCACAATATGAATCAGCGATTTGGTTCAAAGATGTTTACAGTGCGGGCAGGAGCAGACGCAAAGTCAAAAACATAGCCGTGGAGGAAAAATGAGATGAAGGAAAAGTTAAATGGGAAATATCGTGAGAAGGGAGGGAAATAAGAGCCTCCAGTGGCTGGATGTAAGGGAAAGCGTGGAGGACATAGTACATTTGATGTAAGGCATGGTATCGATATAGACAGTCCGCTGGATCGGATCTGCTTACATTGTGCTATGCCTGATAAGAGAACAATAATTTCAAATTGAGAAGTGCCGCTTACAATACTTGAAAATGGAGGAATCAACTTGGAACCGAGATAGCAGCTGAGTGACCTTCCTATGTTAGCCCCTTCCTTATTCCACACTTTCCTCCCATCCTGAAGGCCAGCTCAGAACGAGGTCTCTGGAGCTCTTCCTTCTTCAACCATTCCGGGAAGCCTGGAACACATGGAAGAAGTTACGGTATACCAGTTGATGGCTAATAGTAAAAAAACACCACTACTACATGTTGTTCATAGACAGTGGATACCACCTGCCTGCTCACCAGAAACCCAGCAATCGCAGGCGAAAAAGCAAATGCATGGCGCACTGCGGATAACTTTTTTTGCTCGACTACATTTTCTCATATCCGTTCCGGATCTCCACTTTATTTCATGTCCTCTAAGGTCGTATTTTTTTCATTCAGTGAGCTCTCCTGACTGAGTTAATGCATTTCCACTTGCTCATTCGACGAACGGCTAATTGAAATCCACGGGTTATCGCCCTATCTGACCGTTTTTTCTCCGGCTACCTCCCATGGGACCGTTGTTGGGATGAGCATGGCCGATGTACATCACATTCATTTACGTTTTTCCTCGAAAAAGACTGCCGTCCCGTCCTGCAAACATCAATTGCCTTTTGCACACAAGACAGAGCAGCAGTAGAGCAACCGGCAGAGCTGAGACGGCGGTCCAGTGAACTCCGCCCCTCGTCTGGCCTGTTCGACTCCGCCCTACCCGATTTCCACGACCACGACGGCGACGGCACGGGGTGATTTTTCAGTCCCCCTGAATTCCTTCTAGTCGATCTCTCTGCTGCGGCGCCGTTAGACGCCTTATCAATGTAGTGAAATCAATGTACTCTGCAATCGTCGTCTTTTTCTATTCGATACAGTCGATTATTGGCTACGTTGAAGGTGGGAGATCATCCTTTTCCATTTTTTCTTATTTTTACCTTTTCCCTCCATTTATGTGTTATGGTAACCTTCTATTTCTATAGTTTTTCATCAGCCTTTTTTATGAATTACTTTTTTCTGCATGTCGCGCTACCCATCTAAAATTCTTTTGTGAACCTAATTATGCCTTATATATCCCCCTTCTTATGAATAATTTAGGGCAATTTGAATCCTGTTTTTGATTCATCCCTTGGGTGGCTACTATTTACTCGATAGAGGACGACGGCACTGTTTTCTTTCTGATTTCACACATAAATTTGCAGTCTTAGGGAGACTTTAGTTACTGCGGACTGCTCGTCGGAACGACTTATCAGCTTGTCTTTCGTGGCCTAGGGTAAAAACTGGCTCTGCTCTTTGGAGAACTTGAATCTACTGTGAATCAGGAGTAAATACGACCTTCTAGGGAGCTGGTTCTGATCTGGGAGTTTGTTCTGGGAAAATCTGTCCGCCAAGGGTATGTGGCATTCGGGGTTCGTGATCAAAGTTCGCCATCGATCAGGCCACGTTTAATCGATGTAAGAAGGAACAAAGTGATCAAGAGCTTCTTTGGATTTTCTGATTTCGACCGAACGGGTCCACAAAACGTCAAAAATGACCGAGTTGGGATGTTTGTACATTAATGGGACCTTCAGGCACCCAATGTGTCCCTTATCACCCATGCCAGAGCGGGTATTGCGAAAGTCAAATGGGCCGACAGATGACTGGTAGCTGCTTAAATTTATGTCTTTGTACCCGGAGCTCACATTTTCGAAATGTTTAACTTCAAAGCAAGAAAGTGCTGGAAAGTATCGGATTTCAAGGTGCTAGAACAATCGCCATGAAACTAATTCATCGATCATTCAATGACCACCCTAATTTATTCCCGAACCCATTTGGTTTATTTCCTAGGCAGACCCTCAAGCGAACAAGTATGGCTTTTAAATTCAATGAAGCCACTCAATTCTAATTAATTCGCCTCAGCCTTGCTCCTGACGTTCTCAGAAGGCATGTTGTCCTTCGTGCTTTTCAATTTCCCATTTTTTCTCCTAATCGTGCTCAGCAGAGCGGAAAAAAATCGTAGAAAATTAAAACAGCTGAATTGGAGTAGTTTCTGGGAACGGCCTGCTCTGAAGTCTCTCTCTCTCTCTTGCACCTGGAGACATTTTTTGCGACCGTTTGCAGTTATGAAATTTTTTTTGTCCATATGGTCTCCTCTCCTTTTTACTCTATTTTTCTTCGCGTTTCGAGTTACCGAAAAAACATGGGCGAGTTGTTTATTTGCCAATTTGAGGGAATTGAAAGATCTCAAGTCCTATGGGTGGTAGATGATCATAATATCTCCCTCATCCCTAGAAAATGCATTTTATGGAGAATAAGAAAGATCTCAAGTCCTATGGGTGGTAGATGATCATAATATCTCCCTCATCCCCAGAAAATGCATTTTATGGAGAATAAAATGAAAAAAAATAAATTGTATCAAAATAAAGATAAAAAATATATCAATATATAAAAATAAAGAAGTAAAATCCATAATAGAAGGAGCAGAGACATTCAAGCATTTTTCCAAATGTTAAAAAGTGGCCGTCCGTTAAAACTCGACATTTTTCTTCACAGTACAAATCCCAGTCGTTCGGCTGAAAACCGATTTTTGCGAAATTTTTTATTACGTATTTTGTCGATTCCGGTTGGTCTGTACTGAGAAAGAAAGCATCTCTTCAGAAGGGAATGGCTGTGCCATTGCGATATTCTTTTAAATTGCTATTGAAATTCTTGGTTTCTTTGTTTCCGGATTGCTCGCGACTGGCAGTAGGTACGAAGGAATCCCTCATTAACTATACTTCCAAGAGGAAGGTTGTCTCAACTATAAATCATATTAGAATTTATGTATTTATTCCTATTCTACAAGTGGCATAAATCATTCAGTAACGATATAATAGGCAATTGAGTCAAAGTAAGCAGGGACATAAAGTACGTCCCCCTGACCTTTACCGGATTGCGCCACGCATATGATCCATCTGAGCCATCGTCATAAGCTTATTGGCTAGTCAATACAACTCTGGTAGTAGCTACTTCATGGTCATTATCAGCGGCGGCGCACCTCAGTACTAGTCTAGCCTCTCCGGCCTACTTTAGTTGATTTTCGAGTTCAATTGCTTTAATTGAAAGATGTGGCAGTGCACAGTGTGAAAAAGTTTCAAGCAAAGTTCAGGGACGATCTCGCTTGTCTCGCTTCATGGCAGGCTTCATTTTTATCAACCTACCGGAAAAGGTGGTTTAGTATTGCAGAGAGACAAAAAATCTTCCCATAAAAATACACATAATTTATCAAGAACAGAAGCGGATTCGGCTGCCCACTTCTATTGAGAGATGTCACGCATTCTGCTGCCCATGAACTTCAGGGAAGACGAGAGCCGTGCAGAGAAAAATTCCTCCTCGTCTCTCTATTTTCCTTCCTTTTTTCATCTCAACTCTGTTAGTATCGCTGTCAATTGTTAGATGAGTTCTCACATTTATGATAGTGGCCTTTTTTCCTCCTATTATATAGTTCGGCCAGTCACATCGGGCTAATTATAAATGATTGGGATGTCATCGAAATTCCGCCGCCGCCGCTGCCGACGCTATCGTCATCGCTATCCCCCCACAACGGGGGACTATGTTCACCGACCGCGTTCCATTCATTGCCTGACCTTATCAATAATGCACGAGTTCACACCCCCACCCCCAACACATCCCATTTCACTTTCACGATCACCACGTTGTTTTTCTGGTTAGGTGTCATCACAACAACCTCCAGCCCGCCCGGTTCATTCGTCACCGTACCGAATCGGGCACGTTCCAATGGGAACAATTGGACCAGGCATCCGCACCGTATTCGCGCAGCTCAGGAACCAGGAAAATCCCACTGGGAGATCGAAAATTCTGAAAAGGTGGATAAGGAAGGTCAAAAGGTTTCCCACTCCAAAATGGGAAAACTGAGCCTTAGTACACTACGAAATCTTCTAGGCTTACAGGCACCAGTACACTCTGAACTCAAGCAGGTATTGAAGGAACATATCGAGTCATGAAACTTTTATTCATGTCTAGGATTGTTGACAAGATAGGAATAGGAAAAAATTAATTCTATTCTAATTTTCAAATTAGAATGAAATTTCAATTAACCATATATATATATATTTTTCGTATCTATTTTTTATTAATATCTTTTATTATTTCAAAAAAGTTTCCTTGTTCAGTTGCCAAAATCCTGGCAGCAGCTTTCACACATAATTAATTGAATTTACTAAAACTATAGCGATGAGCCTCAGTATGGCAACAATTCTTTTGTTAAATGATTGTGTAGGATTCTATCCATCCAATCAAGTCGACAATTTTTTGAGTGAAAATTTTGCAGGGTTTGAGCAGGGGCGCATTTTGTTGTTCTTTAATCGCTCTCTGGTCTCACTGAGACATCCCCTCTTTATGGATAGGCGCTTCTCTGGTTTCGAAAATTGAAAATTTTTTGATCCTATGAAATGGCGAATTATATAGACATAAGAACTGGTACATTACATTCGTATTCCCAGGCGAGTTAGATTAGTTGAACTCTGAGCTCTGGGGAGGTCCTAACTCAAAAAATTTTCACTTATTCCATTTCCGCTTATTCCCTCTCGAATCCAATTCCCCACGAAAACTGGGCAAAGGTAATTAATGACAGCCATATATTAGGACAATATTTCAGTACATTTTTTGGACCCTCGCCATTTATTCAATTACAATATGAGCTTGCTGATGCCTGTGAATACTTGCAGGTTATAAAATGGGGACGCTCAATACATAATTCACAGCCCTCATCCCCTAAAAGTAAATTGTGACAAAGCTAATTGATGGCAAAGTATTAGCTTTTATGGTTGGTTCGGAATTCCCAGCCAGGTTTCAGAATAATGGTAGAGCCTCAAGCCCCTGATCGTTCCCAGTTCATGCTTTTGCATAGGCTTCTAGATCGGCATAAATTGCGGGTCTGAGATTTCATACAGCCTTGACTAGTGAAGCCGAAAAAGCCATCATACATCTCGGTTAGTTGTCTTTTTCACTGACGGCACTCCATAAACGGGCGACAAATTGCATCGTTTGATGGTAGATTATCGGCCGTTTGGATGACGACAATCTACAGAAAAAACACGACGACGACCGTATCCGTCCATTGCGTCATGAATGGGACCGCCACTAAATGTACTGCTGAATGAGCCGATCTGAGGCCGATTCACAAGCAAAAAGTCGTGGTGCAGTTCGCCTCATAGAAACGGCTTTTGCATTGGTCTCTGAAGAAATGGCGATGATGGATCGGGCATGGGGCGACTTGACTTGCTCGAGTGAATCGCTTTGCAGAGGGATTTTGGCATGTTGGAATTATCGAAGTAGTGTGAAAGTCGAAATGGCTGGGTCTGATTCAGCCTTGCTAAGCCATGCTTTTGACTTCTATTTAGAATTGCGTGACATCTGAGGGCTGAGGCAATCACAGCAACGGATTACAACAGTCAGCCATTGAATAGGTTAGTACTTTACCTCTTCCGGAAGGGAGCCATGAAATGAACCTTCCACATACATTCATCCATTTGTTTCCATGGTACTTCCGAAAACAAATGTAACCTCGCTCTATTCCACGGTTCCACGGAGAAAAACAAACTCTTTCATTATTAGTTCTTCACTGTGAAGATCCTAATCATTCCAGATAGAGAAAGGCCCAGTAAGTGGAGAGAGTACACCAGAGGAAGTCCGAAGACGCATGGGACAGCAAGAAATACTGATGAGTGGCGAATGTCATTGTTCGCTTTTGGTCGTCCCGCCGCCTCGTTGCCGCTACTCGTTCGAGCTTGTGTCTTCGTTCTACACCGGATATCCAATGCATATCGAAAGAGCTGGGAAGAGGATGGGGGAGGGGCTGCTGCAACAACAAAGTGCACTGCAGCAGAGCCTCAACCTCGTTTCCATCATGGGCCAGCCAG